CCCCAAAACCCCAAAACCCCAAAACCCCAAAACCCCTACAGGACTAGTAAATATTGAATTAGAGGTATTTAGCCTTGACGTTGTGTATGAAGTTGTCAACTCTTCGAGACCAAGTTGCCAAAGCCTTCTTTATTTCTTTCTGGAATAGGACTGATGCCTCTGCATCAGTGTATTCAAGAACTAAGGCGTTAACAAGGTATTCAATGTGTTCATCTTTATAGAGTTCAGGCATTCCAGCTGAGGTCATTAAGGAGAACAAATTTATCAATCTTCTTGAGTTCTTTCTGAGAATATTAAATGAATCACAACAAAGCTTAATGAAAGTATAGAAGTTATCATCTACTCACTCATTTTTAAGCTTTGAGCCAAAAATTTCATCAAAAGCGGATTCCTTATAGATTGCTGAAGCTCTGCCATTGCTGTCAACTTTGCGCATTCCAAGGACATCATTCTCTTCTATATCGAGGTAGGGATAATTCTGATTGCTGTTTTTCCTCTTCTTTCCCTCAACAGCCGATATGAGTTTATGGACATCAGTTTTGATAAACTTAGCCATCTCTTTGGTAAAGACGAAGGGGTCTCTTTCACGTTTGATTCCATACTTTTTCTTGATATTTCCAAGGAAATGACCAAAATCTATATGGAATAGGTTGCCATCATTCTTATTGACCATTATGTTGTCGGGGTGTCTATCTCCAAGTCCCAGAACATATGAGATCACACAGTATCCAGCTGTAGATTTTATAAAGTTTTCATGCACTCTCTTAAGTTCAGAGTGTACTTTATGAGGTGTGTCCTTCAGTCTCTCCTTGAAGTTCTGGACTAAGAAATTTTTAATAGAATTTTCAGAAAAAGTGTTCCAGATACTCTTTTTGTATTGAATCTCTGCTATTGTGACAGAATCGCCTACGAACTCTAGGAAACCTTGTTCAAATCCAGTCCCAATAACTTGGTAAGGAGCTAGGCATAGGTCGAGGCCGTTCTCCTTCCATATCTCATCGATCAGCTTGATAGCTTGTAGAGTGAGCATATCTTGCCTCAGATCGTCTCCGTTTTTGAAGATGGTTCGAATTGGAGGTGCATTTACGTCTGCATTCTTGAGTTCAAGAAGCAATGGCATTTTCTTTGATGAGAAAATGTTGAATCCTCTATCATTAAATCCTGTACAAAGTATTTCGTTGTCAATAGTCAGCCTAAAGGTGCTAGGAAGTAGAGTTGTCCCTTCATGAAGCATCTCAATGGCAAGCCCTCTGATTTCTTTCTTTTTCATTTTCTCAGTGGTTTTAAGCTCTTTGACTTGACCACTAACATCTGCGAGAAGGTTGTTCACTCTAATTTCAGTTGTTAGATGGTTCAGGTATCGCCCTCACATCATTCAGAATTGTTCAATTATCAATGAGTATCGTTCATATGTGATTACAACGTGCAGGTTCGACTTGAGATACCAGAAGAAAGCATGTCCAATGCTATAAGGGCACTCTAATGCCCTTTTTAGCAAAAGATCGCAGAGTGCACTTGAGTGATAATCTTCATACACCAATGCTTGGGTGAGCTGGGGAGTATAGAAGTAGAACTTCTCCTCACTGAGCTCGGATAGAAGGGATATCGCATAGTCCCTGATAACTTTGTCCGAGAACTTATCACCCAACAGATAGAGTGCATTCTCAGGATTCATTTGTTTCCATTGGTTGAGTAACTCATGCCCCTCTGTTATCTGGAAAGGATTCGTCCAATCTATTCATTTGAGAAATGTAGGTAAGTTCCTGGAAGTTTTAACAAATTTATATCTTCAGAGAAACAAGAATCTCTTCTGTTGATCTGTAAGTTCCTGTATTGGGTTTTTCAGGATAGTCGTTTTGCAAAAATCTATGTCCCCTTTGGATACCTTCTTGGGTTTTAAAGTGTCCATCATTGTAATGTCTTTAGGCATTAGGTACTGCTCATCTTCTTCCTTAATATTTTCATCAGAGAAATGAACGAAATGTCAATCTGATTGAATTTTTCTGATTTCATGATATACATTTTTATGAAATTTTTCAAATTCAAGGAATAACCTTGAGTGGCACTCCTCACGCTTCTTGGCCTTAGCCTTGAAAATTTTAGCTGAGACTCCATGGTACTCCTTCATTCAGCCCAGTTGTGCATCATGGGTGTAGAAAGGCCATACATTAAATTCTGTGGAGGAATTCTTGAACTTCCCAGTGTGATCAAAAAGGTTGAAGCTAACAGACCCAATGTAGAGATCAATCCCTTTCATATATATCTTATTAATATCAAAAGCGTTACTCTCCCTTATGTTGATGTTAGAGAGGCGCTTTTGGGTATCATGCTTATAATGCTTTGGCTCTATCGTCTCTCAGACTATATCGATTCAAATTTTAGCATTCCTGGGAAGGTCACAGTATCTTATATCCCCAAACTGAATCCACTGATTAATTCTAGTGTTGTTGGAGTAATACACCTTCTTTGTGTATACAGGGTTAGACAGCAGCTGCGATCCATGATATAAGTGACACTTCAGGTACATCTTGACCGGAACATATGATTTATCTTCAAACTCAAGTATTTTGAACACATAATTCTTGTCATAGTTGCAACCAAAGTTGTTGAAATTAGAGCAAAAATCCTTTAACTTTGTGGTGGAATCCTCCAGATATCGAGATAAAATACTCTTGCTTACTCAACTATCAAGAATGAAGCTCTCTTTATCTTTAAGAGGCTTGAGAAATTGAGGTTGGAGCATGAAATTGTTTCGGTCCATCTCCTGTTGCATCTTCTCAGTATCTTTGTATAATAATCAGTCGAAGACAGTCCAGAGCCTATCAAAGCCTACAAGCTTGAACCTAAATGGGCTTAATAACTGGCTTGATTTTAGAGGAGAGCTCTTTACTCTTCTTTTAAGGATAGAATTCCTTGTCTTGAAATATCTAAGGTTTCTGTCTTGATTGAGGAATGAGGGAAGTTGTTTCAGCACTTTCTCATCATCTTCATTTTTGTAGACTCAATCTAAAGGCTGTTCAAGAGGATTAACTTTCATTTCTTCCTTCTTTGGAGGGTAGAGATACATTAGCGAAGAGTTCTGTAATTTTTTGAAATTAAATTCCGTCCCTGGCCTCATGAAGTAGAGGGGAGGAAAGTTCCTATCCTTTTGGTTTATTGGAACCTCAGTGATCATGATTTGTACTATCGGAGTTGCCTTCCAAAGCTCAATATTAATCTTTCTGTATTGCTTCAGGCTATATGAGCCAAGAATGTAATCTGAAGCTCCAGAGAACTTGACAGCAAGTCCTTTAGATTCATCTCTACTTGTTAGTTCTATTTTATGAGTCTGTAATATCTTCTTCTTAACTTCTGTGATCAAGTCTAAAGCCTTAGCGTCACATGAGCATGTGACTCCTAAGAGTTTTGATCCAAACCTGCTTCCTAGAGAGGTGCTGAGTATGTCATCATACTCGGATGTGTCTACTTGGAAGAAGATCATCTTATCGTATGCATCACAATAATTTGGATCCCCTTCTTGGACAATTTTGACAGGGTACTCTGAGATTTCTCTATTAAGCAATGCCCTAGAAGTCAGAATTGAGGTTACTTAAATGGTATTTCTGCTTTATGGGAGAATATGCTCTCAAATTCATCATTAGTATCTTCCTCTTCACCTTGATCTGGCTTGATGAATTTCCTGACCTTGAAGTACTCAGCTTCTGATTGATATTTCCAATAGAATTTACGCTGCTCTGAGCTATTGGTAATCAATTTAATAACTCTAAGTGTATTGATTGCTCTTTGCCTCAGAGAATCTCCTAATTCTTTGTCTGGGATAATTTCATAGTTCCACTCAAGAGTCTTGAGATTTATACGGTAAAACTGTTTCATATCTGGATCCATTCAAACCATGAAAGGGAACTTTTTCTCTTTAGGTCTTTTAGTAGGGGAATCAGCGATCACCATTTCACGAGTTTCATACTTATCTTCGATTTCGTTCTGGCAGGCACCATCAGGTCTGTAACTCTTGAGTTTGAGGAACTTCTTGATAATCTGGATCTTCTTGGATTGATATTTGCTCTCCTCTGGATCATCTTCGCTCTCAGTATCTGGAGAGTCAGGCTCTTCGTCTGGAATTATCTTAATTTTTACTGCTTCAGACATCTTGCGTTCCTCTTTAATTTCTTTATTTTCTTGGGCAACTTTGCTACGTTCGTTTTGGATGCATTGGTCGAGATAATTATCAAAATAATCTTCCGTTGTCTCGAATGCGAAGGATATTCCTTTTGTGGAGGTCTGACGCTCTTCATGAAGCTCATCAACCTGGCTCTTTCTCTAAATTTATAGATTATTTCTGCAAGATTCCACACTGAAGGGGATAGTGACTTACCATTTGGCTTTTCTTGTTAATTGCAGAAATTCTAGGTAGGCGTGGCGGTGGCTCAGAATCCATTTTCAATAATTATAATCGCATGAGGGGTTTTGGGGTTTTGGGGTTTTGGGGTTTTGGGG